CGACATCGGCCCCATCTTCTCCAGATCTCCGCCGCCAGCTTCGGCGCGTCGGGCTGCTCTTACCTCCGGTGGGTACACCACGTACAACAGCGCTGGGATCACCAGCAGCGACACCAGTCCCGGCACCGACGCTGCCACCGCCCAATCCGTCCAGCTGATCGTCTGCCCGATCGCCCCCGTCGCCAGGTTCACGCTCAGCGGGTTCGCAGCCATCGCCGTCAAAAACATCGCCGACGTGATCACCGACGTCTGGAAGCACGTCAGCATCAGCCAAGATCCCAGCTTCCTCTCCGTCCCATCCCCGACCTTGCTCCCGCACGCCAGGCACAGCGCCTTCACCAGCGGCAGAAATATCCCCCCCGACCGAGCCGACACCGATGGAATCGCCGGCGACAGCAGCGCCTCCGCGAACACCAAACTGTACCCCAGCCCCAGCGTCGTCTTCCCGAACAGCTTCACGAACTGGTAAGCCACCCGGTTACCCAGCCCCGTCTTGATGAACCCCTTCGCGAAAAAGAACGCCAACGCGATCAGCCACGGGATGGGATCCCCGAACGCGCTGAATGCTGCCGCGAACGTCAGCGTCTTCGTCAACACCGATGCGCCCAGTCCCATCAGCGCCACCGCACCCAACGGCAATGGCTGCGTGATGATCCCCACCACCGTCGCCAAAAAAATCGACAGCAGCTGCCATGCGTTCTTCGTCACGCCCACGGGCGTCGGAATGAACCACACCAACACGCCCACCGCGATGGACGCTATCAGGGGCTTCATGGATGCGCCCATCCACGGCTCCTCCTTCTTGGGCGCAGGGGTGGCTGCGGGCACCACGCCCGCGCCCGCATCCGCTCGCACTCCCAACCTCGCCTCGCCATCGCTCTTCCGCAACGCCGGCAAGGCCGCGATGCCCTTCAGCAACCCATCGCCCACAAGGAACCCGCTCTCGGAGCTCGACGCTGCCAAACCCAGAGACCTGATTCCGCCCCTGCTCCGCAACCCAAAGGCGCCCCTCACACCCAAAGACCTGGCGGAGCAAGAAACACCTCTCGGCGCAACCCCACGAGGCGACGCGACGGGACTCAACCGGACGCCATTGGAAACTGCAGCAGCCATGCAAGCCATAGCTGCCGGTGGCCCCACAAACGGGCTCACAATCTCCTCCCCGGCCTACCAGCGTCTCAGATCCCCCCCCCTCGCTCGAGAGCTGCACCTGCGCAACCCCGATCCAGCGCGTGAGCCCAAAACAAAACTTCGAGCGGAGCGGTGTCGCCTAGAGCTTTAGCGGAAAGGGAGCTGATTCGCAGAAAGCGGATCCGAGGGTGCGTAATTGGACGTGACCAGGCAGGAACTAGGGAGATGTGTGAGTGGAGTGGAGCATCAACAGCAATGGATGGATGGCGACCAGATCGAGGGGCTGGGCTTCTCCGTGTCCCGGAAGGACTGCCTTAACTCGGAGAGCAAGGGCCAACTGTGACCGGGCTTGCAAGTCGCCTCTCTCACTGCGATGCGACCCCTTAATTTGATTCTATAATGCTGTAGTTTGTTTCGTTCCTTTGGCTTGTGGCTCTTTCTGGTCAGGGCATTTCTCTCAGATTCATGGCCATCTCCCTCTCTTCCTTCCTTCCTTCCTTCTGCCTGTGTATTCATTTGATGTTTACTTGACCATAATTGTCCTTTGCTTCATCAACAATTGCCATGTGGGCCCAGGATTACTGAACAGTGTGATTTGCTGCGGAGTTGGTATCATTTGCTTAGCAAACGAGCTCTGAAATTAGGTTGTGTGATCAGTTCTTGTGTTTGAAGGAAGGCAGTTAGGTATTGTGAAATGTGCTGGGAATTGTGAAATGTGATTGTCTGTTGCCATTTTCGGAACATTGAATGGGGTGGATTGAATGTGCTAATATGGGTCTCAGTCCCACATGCTTTGTGAAAGATGCCGCTTAGTGGAATCGAGCGTGTTGGATTTGCGTGATCGTTTCCTTCCTGTGAGCATTGGTGTTTTTGGTGATGTTGAATTTGAACAAAGTGCAACACATCATCAACCTATGCATATTGATTTTTTTTGTTATTTTTTGGTCATGATTATTTATTAACATAAAGGATTTAATATATACATAATATATAATCAACTTTCTTTATTTTCATAATCAATTTGATCAAGGAATTGATCACGGTTGTTTCTTTACTTATTTGTTTTTTTTTTGTTCAATATTATGTATGTATGTATGTATGTATGTATATATATATATATATATATATATATCCTAGCAAATATTTATTTGATCATGATTTTCTTTAAATAAATTTTAATTAATATAAATAAAGAATTATAGTTTATTTAGTGCAAAGATAATTATATTCAAAAGTTCAGAATAGGATTGAATAATAGTAGAGTTTAGAGAGACTAAAAACGAAATCACTTGTTAGCTCAGAAGTTACATTCAATTAAAGTAAATGTTTCATAGAATCAAACTTGAACTTGCAATCATTACATACAAAGTATATATGCAAAGAGAATAAAATTTTAATTAATTATTCTAAACATAAAAGGATTATTTGTTGTAGTTGTATCTTATGTTTTGTAAGTTCAATATAAATGTAGGGTTATTTGTTGTAGAATTAGCCTCATTAAGACCACTAAAAGTGATGAATTAAAAATTGCATAAATCTTTGACTTTAGTATTACCCGATTTTTTAAAAAGATTTATTTTACTTCTATATAATATTAGAATTTTATTATTGGAACATAATATGTCATATAAGATTGTAGAAATTTCCACGAATCACATCATAGTGTTTACAACTATTATTAAGAAGTACATAGCATTAAAAATAATAATAATAATAATAATAAACTATAGAAGAACTAATTTTTTTCTCAATGTATTGGAGTTAGTTTAATGTAGATGTGTAGCAAAGAAAAAATTTAAAATATGTTTGAAAGATTTTGTAACGAAGAAGAATAATAAGATTAGAAACTTGTATGAAGTAGTCGAAGATATTGTTACTTGTAGAACTAATATCATATTAGCTAAACAAAGAGACTCAATCTTTATAATGAAATTAGAGTATGCAAAATTGAATGACTTGAATGAATGATTACCCAGAACTACAAAACAAATTGTAAAGAATTGTTTTGTAAACATTTTGTGTTTGGGAATCACAAAAAATGAACTTAGATACTCTAATTTATCTTACTAAAGGTTTATTGATTGCATAATCTTAAATGTACATAGTTTTGCACCAATTATTTTGAAAGTTGTAATATTATACTTTGTTTTTTTTATGTATCATTACTAGAAGAAGGTGAATGTTTGTTATACTAAAAATATATATATATATATTTTTCTATATTTAAAAAATAGAATGAATGATAGAGGAGTAAACTTGATAAAAATTAAAACTAAAATGATTACACATTCAATATTAAAGAAAAATGTCAAAAACAATCAATTATTTGTTTTTAGAACATTAAAAACTATATTTACGTTATTTTTTTTATAAGATGTAATAATTTTTTTATTTTTTATATTTTATTTTTGTATAGAAAAATCTGCAAAGAGATTCTCAACTCAATGTTTATACATCTTATACAATATGCATAGTTTTTTTCAAAAAAGTAAAATGCTTATTAGCTATTATCTAAATTATTGAATATATTAATATTATATATGTAATATGATTTTTTAGTACTTAAGTTCAAATGTGCAATAGAAACAAATTACATGCTCAATTTAAAATATTTAAGCAAGTCTAAATACTTTTTCAAAACTTTTTGGTGAATTTCATTCAAACAATTTCTTTAATTTTAAGTGTAGTATTTATTTTTTAAAATTTTAAATTGTACGATTTCTAAATAATTTCTAATTTTAAAGAAATATAATATCTATTGTCTATTATAAATCAATATTAAGAATGTGTATTTTTGTATATATTATATTTTTCAATATTATCAATAAAAACTACTATAATCAGTATTTATTGTAATTATGATTTAATACAGTTTTAATAATTTTTAATTATTATATGTTATCAATTCTAGAAAAATTGGTACTCAAAATTTAATAATTATATTAATATGAAAAATAATTATTGCATTTTTTACTTTTTATTTTGATTTATAACATATAGAACTGTTAATATCAATAAAGGGCACATAAAAACTTTAAAGTATGTCTGGAATAATATTTTGTTAGTAGTTTTATATATAGTCATATAGAAAAAAAATTCAATATCTATTCAAATCTAAAATAAGTGGTAGATACATAAAGTCATTAAAATTATTCTTAAATTTAAATAGATTAGTAAAGGTGATGTATTTTTTTTTACTTTGTCTTTTTTATTTTTACATAAATTTATTTTCTTTACATAAGTTTATTTTAATTTATATATTTAAAAATTTTATCTTTATTTATTAAGAATATATATATATATATATATATATATATATAATATTTTTTTCTTCAAAGCAACAAAATATTTGAAAAGTTATAGATTACCTTGATATAATTTTACATGATTTTTTTTATTTTTTATTATTTTTTTATCTACTTCTTAATTCTTCTTTTTGTTTTTTATATGATGCTTTGAATTTCTACAATTTTTTTGTTTATAAGATAATTTACAAAAAAAACATAATGGTATAAATATAAGTGAGAGTATAATATACATATATATATATATATATATTGGTAGAAAAAAATCACTATGTTCATTACTACAACCAACTTTTAAAATATTTTATTATATAAATATAGAGATGGTAGGATTTTCTTCAACTATTGATGTTTTGATAAAAAAGAATATAAGTTGTATAAATAATCATTGCAATACAATTTTTTATTGAGTTACTCACAAAATTATTCAAATTTATTCTTCAAAGTTAGATATTTGAAAGTACTTTTTTTAGAAAATATTTAAGTGATCTAGTACATGACTTTGTGGTTTTAAATTTTTCTAAAGCTATTCTTATCTAATCACAATTTCTTTGCAATACAAGGTTTTCAAACATAAGTGATGTATCTATTAATTTAAACAACAACTTTGCATGCTCTTTAACTAGTGAAGCACCAATATCTAGTACATAGTGATTATAGTGACTAGAAGGAAACTTGGATGTTTAAGCCTTAAAGTGTTTTTGGTGCCATTTGGTAAGTTTAATACTCATCTTATTTTATCTTTAAGAGTTAAGTAGGTCATTTTAATACTCATCTTATTTTATCAAAAAAAAATATTATAAGATCTAAAATTAGATAATTATATTATTCAAGCTTCTAAATTTTTAAATAAAAATATTTTTAGTTTATTTTAAATTTTATTTAATTAATATTACAAAATATTAATAATAATATTACACAAATCAACGTGTCTTCTTTGTTGCTTATAACATGATGTAAAGAATTTACAATTAAATTTATTTAGTTTCTAAAGATAAAGTCAATCAATTGACGTTATCATCAAGTATAACATTTGACCATTTTATCTTTATTAAAGATCTTACAATGACCTCAACATATGATTTATAATGATGTAAAAAATCAATAAAATAGTTGAATATACAATCTTATTTTAATATAAGTTAATTTCTTTTGTAAAACTTTATATCTTGTGGTACAATAAATAATAATAATACTAATAAATTACTATCAATAATTTATTTTGGTATAAATTTTAAGAAAATAAATATTATTCTTAATATTCTCTAAATAATTAAAAAAACTGTATAATATAAAAATACAAATATATGAAGACAATGTCTTAAAAAAGGACTTATCTAAATTAAAAAGAATTTTTCATTTTAATTTTTTTCAGCTTTATTTTGTGATTTTTTTTTATTATCTAAATATTTTTTTTATTTTTGAATTCAAGTTTGTTTAAGTGTATAAATTTATAAATTATGTACTTATGTTTTATTAGATCCTAAAATAATTTTATTTTTTTTAACAAAAAAACTTTCTAAACAATAAGAAAAGGTTTAGTAAAAACTTTTTACTAAATACTCCTAAATACTCCTATTTTTTATCAAAAAATAAAAAGAATATTAATGACATATATAAGTTTTAAATTTAAAATTTATTTTTGACTCGATAAATTCTTAGTAAATTTTATTCAAGTAAATTTCAAAAGATTATATAAGTAGATTGTAATTTAATCTAGTAGTCTCTTACAATCAATTTGATAACATAATTACTAAAGATTATATAAAAAATCTAAGATGTAGCTAATTAAAATTTAAGATTTATAAAAGACCAAAATAAAAATTTATGAAAAATACAACCTTTATTTAATAATAGTAATAACTTGTATTTTATTTTATCAAGTATTATGATGAATAAAACTTATAAAAAGTTGTATTATTAAATTCTTAGACTAATTATTATTCAAATATATATCAATTTATTTTGTACATTGATTGTATTTATTAAAAGCTATAAAGATTTATCTTATTAAAAAATAATTCTCATTGAAATTCGTAAATTATTTATTTTGCTAAATTTTATTTCTTTTAAAAATTATATTGCAACAAAGAATATATATATACATATACATATATTTTAAAAGATGGATAATTAAAAAATATATATATCTAAATAACATTTTTGAGAGTAGATTGAATATGTAGATTTAGAAATGACTTTAATAACTTCTTCAAGAAGTTTTATTGGTTTAAAAGTTGATATGAAGGATCTTTTTAGTTGGACACTTAGTTCCTAAATTATATTGTTGTTAAGAAGTTTCTTGATAGATTATTTGATGGCTAGTGTATATATATATATATATATATATATATAGACAAGACTAAGGCCATCTTTAGCCTTGTTAATGCTATTATTATATATTGGCCTTGGTTTAAGTCTCTCTAGTTATTCTTACTCAACAATATGAATTCTAATGTATTATTGTTTTTTTAATGTATTATTTTTTGGTTGTTCTTCTTATTTTTTAGTTGTACTCAAATATGTTAGCTTTTCACAACTTGTTATAGATTTATGTTTTATACACTTGCTTGGTTCTTAATATATATATATATATATATATATATATATATATATATGAATAAATTATTGATACAATATAATATACAATATAATATCAAATCACAATTCAAATATTTCACTTTGTAGTTGTGTCACTATATTTTATTTGAATTTCAAAGAATCAGAATAAAAGGAAGAATTTGTAAAATTTAAAAATGAATTCTGTAATTTGGGTGAATATTATTAGTAAAAGATTAAAATATGTATTTTAAAGTTTTTCCAAATTTAATTGAACTTTATTGAGAAATCTTAAGATTATTTGAGTTGCTTTAATGTGATTAACTTTAAAAATAAATACAATATATTTGAATTTTTGATTAATTAACTAAATATAAAGTATTGCTCGTCAATATTTATTTGCATAAATATTTTCTTTTCAAATCGATATTATAAAACATAAATAAATGGTAGATACAAATAAAAAAATCATTCATTTTTTATTATTATATATTCTCATATTGTGAAGGGTTGCATGATTATTATTAATTCAATTATACAACTAATAATAAATTCTTGATTTTTATTAGGTTTTATTCATTTAAAAATGTTTTGGTATATTATAAAAATAGAAATAGGTAAAAAGTTATTTTTATAAATACAATATTTGTAAACCTAAATTTATTTGCATTTATACTAAATTAAGATTAATAGAGTTACACTGATCAAATAACATATATATATATATATATATATATATATATATATTAGTGTTTATGATATTTGAATTTTATTTTATAACGGTAGCATCTAATTACTTTTGTTCAAGATTACGTAAATAATTTCTTGCTTGTTTATTTCTAGAGAAAAGGCAATTTTATGCCAAACTTATCTTTTTGAAATGGATGTGTATTGTAAAACTACAACACTTAATTTTCTTGTGTAATCTTGAAATTATTTTTATTTTTGTACTTATTTCGTATAATTATAGATTAAAGTAAAATATAAAGTACCATTTCTAGTAATAACAATTCCAAATAAATATTAATCATTAAACATAGTTACACAACTTAAGGTTACTTACACATTACTATAATATGTATCAACTACCTTGCTTTTTAAGTACATAGTTACAAATTACAACAATTTCTCAAGTTGTAAGCATCATCTTATGTATATATATATATATATATATATATATATTTATATAGAAATATTTATTTACAATTAGTTTCTTGTTCAAAACAATAACATTGCTACAATGTATCCAAAATCCAATGAATGATCAATTATGATACAATATAACGAACACATGACGTCAAACATTAACCACCACAATGATGCATTTTGTAATACCGAAAATCCCTAGTTTAATTCATATCAGGACTGTGCATACACTTTGAGTTTGCAATGCGAACAGAAAACAATCATTATTCATTCCTTTATTATTTGCTTTATATCCCTATAAAGTTTCAAAGTGAGCTCATTCTTGAAACATAGCGTACTCACTCGAAAGTGCATGTGAAAAAACGGAAACATGATGCAGACACCCAAAGCAAGCAAACGATTCTCAGAATAAAGCCAATAAAATACACACTGGCAGCAACGATGGCTAGTGCCATGGATCTCTGTCCATCAGGAAGAACCAGAGCCACACAGTAACAAAGCCGGACAGCCAACGCGAACAACACAGAGAGAGGAGGAGAGAGAAAGCGAAAGAGACACCACCTCCACATACACCCCAACGCAAAGCC